ACATCCTTTTGTACTAACATGGATGTCCCCAGTGCTCCATCCTTGGTCCTACACTGCTTTTAATCTTCATTAACGACCTTCCCAATGACATCAGCTCTCAACTTGGCATCTATGCTGATGACACTGCCATTTACTCCTGCCTCGATAAGGCTGATCAGTCTGACAATGTCAAAATGGCAGCTGGTATCCAAAATGACATGAATATTGTCATTAACTGGAGAAAAAGATGGCTTGTCAATTTTAACACCTCTAAAACTAAACTTCTCTCCATTAATCATGAGAGACCTCTCTCTGCCTTCCATCAGTGTGGCTGATGTTATCCTCCAGTGACCTGTTGTGCCTTTTTGGGCTAAAGTTCTCAGCTGACATGAAGTAGAAAGACTAAATTGAATCCATTGCTAGGTCAGCTGCTAAGAAAGTAGGTTCACTGTGCTGGGTGAGACAATTTTTCTCTCCAGAATCTATCTTGCATGTTGCCTATGTTTAGAATATTGCTGCAATATATGGTTCAGTGCTCCTGCTGTTTGCCTGGAGCTCCTTGATAAGATCGAAAGAAGAATCAGCAATATTATTGATCTGGCAGCTTGGCTTCAGTCACTTGCCCACCACTGTAATGTTGCCTCACAGCAGTGGTGTAGCTGGGGGAGGGGGCACTTTTGGTCTGTAGTGAATTAAAAAAAAAAAAAAAAAACAAAACAAAAAAAAAAAAAAACAGAAAAAAAACAATAGCATCAATAGCATAATTTCAATAATTTTTCCCAAAAAAGCAGTGATAGGGTTCAAATGAAGCCAATTTGTCTTTGATATGGCTGGCTCAAAGCCAGCCAGCCAGTAATAAAAAAAAATTGTCTCCAAAATGCTGTCAGCTGGTGGAGATAAACCCCACTTACAAGTGGGAGTAAAAGGTGTGAAAAAAAATTTGAACATTTTTAAAGGGCTTGATGTGGAGTTTGATTAAGGCAATTTAATAAATCCACAGTTTTTTTTTCACACCTGTGTGAGAAGTCCAGACTTTGGTATCAGTTCTTTGATTTTGATTTTTCATGTTTGTGAACTGTTTGTGAAAAAAAATTAAATAAATAAGTGAACCAATTGTTTTTTATCTTATAGGCCTAGGAAATAAAATTGTTACTTTTCATTTCATAAATTATAAAAAAGATAGATAAATAAATTGAAATAATTCCAATGATTTAAAGTTTAAGGATATCACATGTATTCCAATTTTTTCCAGAAATATCAAATGGAAATTTAAAAGAAAATTGAGAATTAATATATTTTTTTAAGTGCAGAAACTTTATTTAAAGTCCAAAAATTGGCATTTTTCCTGGTAGTAAAACAATGCAATGTTTTATTTTTTTTGTTTAGATAGTCTATTTTGCTTAATAAAATTTCAACTAAAAAAGTATGATGACATTTTTATTTCAGTGTTTAAAATTGAAATTAATTTTATCAAATTTTTAATTCATAGTCTAAACTACCTTGCTAATAATAACTTCAACTACGTAAAACAAAGTTTAAAGACATTGCAGTTTTTTTTGGGTTTTATTTTTTTTTTTTTTACATAAAAGAAAAATGAACTGTGTTTCTGTTAATGTGGCATTTAATTTGATTCCTCACTTGTTAGAATTGAAATAAATATTAAAAAAGCTGATAAATTATGTATTAAAAGTAGTGTGTTTTTTGTTATTTGTTTTTCTTTTTAAACAAAAACAAGTTATCTTTCAAAGTTTTTAAAGTTTTGCTGATTTAGAAAAAAAAGTAATGTCTGTTTTTTTTTTTTTACATATACCCAGTATTATTTTAAAAAAAAAAAAAAAATAAAATAAAATAAACACAATTGTACTTTTATTTCAGAATTTATCAGTGAGGAGTTATAAATACCATGTTAACAGAAACATGTATTTATTTATACTATGTGTAGTATGTATGAAAATCTTGTCTTGTTAAGCATAGTAAGGTGAAAATTCACCAATGAAAATATGAAAATATATATATATAAACTTTAAGGATTAATGTGCATTGTAATATTGTATTCCTTCTGGGAAGTGGTGGCAAACTTAAAGGCAACCCCAGGCAGCAAAAACACTACCTCACAGTGCCTTTTTTTTTTTTTATAAATACTTTCATGGTAACTATTTGAATTATCCCTCAACTATGGTACCTATACTGTATGAATTTAAGTGCAATACTAGACTGGTGGTGAGATCTAATCAATTTACAGTTGAGCTAGCTAGATGTAGCTGTAACTTTATGCTGAAAGTCTCTTTTCTTGCACCTCTCATCTGTGAAACTCCCTTCTGGCCCCATGCTTTCCAGACAAATTTAATCTGCAACATTTAAATGCAATGTGAATTGCTATCTACTGTCCTCCTGATTGCTCTTTTCTCTTTCTACTCATTACTAATGTTTCTGTTCCTAATTCCTCCATACCTTGTAACTCCTTGCTTGTTAGTGGCTGTATTGCTTTATTTGAGGTGATACCAATAAAAAAAAAATCAACCAAAAGTCAGCTAATTATTGAATTTCAATAAAATATTTGGTATTCATTTATGTATTTATTTATAAAAAGGAGAATTCTGTTAGAAAAATAAGTGTAAATGATATTTTAAAAGTCAGCCATATATCTAATTTTATGAAAATTTAATAAAATATCACGTGGACACTAAAAATATTTACATTTGCATAAGATAAGTTTCCAGAGTAATGAAATCAATTAAAATTGTATTCAAAATTCCACTGTAAAAAATAAAAATCAGCCCTGAATCAGAAAATAGCAACTGCAATAAAATTAAAATATTATTTTGTTTAGAAAGTTTTAAATAGCTTTTTTTTTAAATAATACATACTGTAGACATCTGGTTTGTGAAACAAAAAAGAAATATTCACTGAAAAATAATTTTCTTGAAAAGATTTATTTTCATTTGATTAAATTGATAAACGTTTTTAATTTTTTTTTTAAATTATTTATTATGACACCATGACACTTTAAATAATAATGATGCTATATTGAGAAATATTTAACAAAATCTATAGAATGTGATGATTGTTAAAAGAAAATTGATTTTTTTCTTTTTCTACATGCTGATGTTTTGCAATAAGTATGTACAGAAAAGCATTTAACAAATAATTCTATTACTTTCTTGGTTATCTCTCAGTATTTTTTAAAAAAAATGTTTCAAATCACATGGCAACTATTTATCTATTTTTGATAGCATTTAAAATATTTACATTTCATGTAACATGCATGATTTCTCCCACTTGTAAAAGTTAACAATTTGTAATGATACTTATACATAAAAAATACATTGTAATAACACACACAAAATACCAGCACCAAATGAATGCAATAGTATCATTGCAACAAGCAGTGAACCATTTTCATGCTTTGGTGTGCACGTCAAAAGATACTTAAATCTAACATCTTCAAGATAACCTAATAGCTTTGTGATTGTGCAATAAAATGAATCAAGTAACTTTTGTAACATTTTTAAAATACTGCCATTTTTCTAACCAAAAATATATTTTATATTTTATTCCAGATGAATTTGCAAAAAATAAATAAAAATCATTAAAATTCAACCATAGATTTCTCAATTTGTGTGTGTGTATAGTGAGGATTCTGAAAGCTAAAAAATATTAAATAAAAAAAAGGGAAATATAACAATTATAGCATCATGCAAATTAGCTTTTGGCTAAATAACTCACAAAAAAACAATATTTTAAAAATATTTTGTAACTTTTTTTTTCATATAACATTTAAAAGGAACTGCAAGAGTTTTTTTTTAGATTGTAGCATAGTATTTCTTAATATGGGATTGGGTTTTGCTCAATTTTTATATTCATAACTAATTATTACATTCTCTCCCCCCCTCCAATAAGTCCATATAAGCAATAAATAATATTGCTGATCTATGATCAGGAAACCTAGAATAAGAAATCCTACCTTCGGATCATGAGAAAAATAGCACTGCTTAATTTTCTGAGTTTGTGTTATATTATCTTGGGCAGAAATGATGAAACTAATTTTAAGTCATTACACAAATTATAATAAGACAGGATCTTATTAAAAAATGAAATTAAAATAAACTATTCCCTAAAATGTTTGTATTATTTCCATCATGATTATTGATGACCATTATAAAAAGGGGTGAATTAATTTAGAATGTTTTTTTTTTTTTTACAATAACCATTTTCTCAAAGACATAAGTTATAAAATTTTATTTAACACTATTATTTATGCTTTGAACAGATTAAATTATCAAACTTTATAAAACTTGCTCAAGAAATTAAATAAACTGAAAAATGTCTAGTGACAAAGATAAATGGTAATCTGAATAAAGATAATAAAATCCAAAATTGAAACCCAATGTTTGACAAACAAAAACATTACAGATTTTAATGACAAACTTAAAACTGATTTATTCTGAGGAATTCAATCTTATTATTTATCAAAAACTTTATATTGGGAAAATCCCACTGTAAACTCTTATTGTCACATTGTTTTGTCAAGAATATGAGAAGACAGCTTTACATGTTTGATCAATACTTTTACTTAGACTATCTTCTCTATTTTACTTATGCTATTATTTTTCTATTTTAACAAGTTCTTCCTCAAATACAAATATATTGTTTTTGTTTGTTTTTGTAACATGTTTAAACATTTGATTAGCATATTTTTCTATTGGAGGGAGCCTTCATTATCCATTTTAAACTTTGACTTAGTAGGTGGAGAGAAAAAATAATAAATAAAAAGGTCTTGCTAGTAACAGAAACTGATTTTAAAGAATCACTCTAGAATGGTATGTAGTGTGAAAGTGATATTCATAGTCAAAATTTAAATCTAAGTGAATTTAAAGGTGGTACTACGTTTTTTTAACCTCTCTTTAATACATTTTTGTTAAGACAATATTCCCAAATGTTGATTTTAGAATTAAAATTCTATTAACACTATTTCAATCATACTAAGAGAGACAAAAACCAGAAATAAACAGTTTACTTACCCGGTTGGCAGGTTTTTCTTGGCTTGAATTTGTAAGTTTTGGTGAAAATCATCAGTTGGGTGGGCTTGTGAGTTCATCTGAAATGTTTGACTACACAAGCTAGAAGCCAACATATCTTTCTGAACTTCTCGTCGTGTTTTTCTATTGTAATGCTCACTCATTAAAAATGTTCGTCTACGAATCTCAGCCTCAGTTTGAGCAAGTTCGTGATTAATTTGATTTTCTGTTGCAGAAGAAAATAAAGTGGAATGCAAATCATTATTATTCATTGAGGATTGCAGGAGAAATTCTGATGATAATGGAGATGGACCATAAAAGTCTAATGAATTTAGATTCTTATTAGTTATAGTTGAAGAAAAATTTGATTTGTCTTCTATAGATAAAGATATATCTGGTTTGTTCTCATGTGCAGGGGATCTGTTAGGCTCCAGAGGTTGAAGACACTCAGCCTAAAATTAAAAAGGAGAATCAAATTTCATTTGTAACAAAAAAAAAAAAAAAAAAAAATTCTTTATGTTGATAAAATGTGTGTACTAAACTTTTGATTGTGTAGTGAAAGCTAAAAAATATCTAGTTATGTATAAAATTCCACTTTATTAAGTAAGTGACATAATTATCATTTTTCTCTTTCATGAATTTATAAGAGTAATGTGTAAAATATAAATAACTAAAAAGTCAATTATAACTCATTAAAGATATTTTCATATTTGAGTAAACAAATAGTGTTCCACAAAATAAAATATGTTGGGTCAGGGGTACTAAGATATTAAGTTTTAAAAGATTTCTGTTTTTATTTGTTCTTCTAATAAAATGAATATTTTTTTAAGTCTATTATCCTACTGTGGACTTTTTTTTGTTTTGATTTTAAATACACAATTTTTCACTTTTAATTATTTTCTGCAGATAATATTTATTTTACAGTTTTAGAAACTAATGTTTTGGAGGGAAAAAAGAAGTTTTCAAAGTTATTTTGAAAATTAATGGTAGTAATGGTTTTAGACAAATGATACAGCTCAGCTCAACACCACTGGTACAGATTCATGCCAAAAAGACAAATTTAGTTTTGTTTAGTTCTTAGTTTCAGCAAAAAAAGTGGTTACTGAAGACCTCCACCCACTGCTATAGATTGAGGAATAATTTGAAGCAACAGTCCAAACAAGCCCTAACAATTTTTTTTCTGTTTTAAATATATTTTACTATTTCTCAAAAAAAAAAAACCCCAAAACAAAAAAAAAAAACATCAATAACTTTGAATGTATATTTACAAATTGTATATACTTATAATTAAGATGTGATAAAAATATTGAATTAAATATGTTTCTGCCTAGCAGTTTTAGCAAAGTATGAACAAGCTTATTTTGATTTTATATACTTTACCAAGAGATTTTAATACAATGACAAGCATTTTGGCAAAATTTAATTGATGAAATACAAACGAATTAAAAAAATATAATAGAAAACAGATATTTATTAACTAAATGGTATCTGAAATATAAACTAAATAAAAATATTCTGACAAACAGAGTATCATTTTTGTTTTCTATTTATTGCAGCAGTTTCAACTTTACATTTTGAATTGCATTGAATGTTTTTATTAACACAAAACCATTTCTTAATTTGACACTTTATATTTCCTAGTGCAGGTATAAAAGCTGTAGATTCTTGGAGGTGGTTCCATATACATTCTCCTCTTGGTCATATGTATTTGCACCTTCAGCCAATGCAACAATCTCTTGCAATTCTTCCTTGTACATAATGTTTTCTAACACTTTTTCAAGTAAATACATTGATCTTTACTCTGCATCCAAAGAGTGCTTAATATGAAAATATCTTGACACCAGCAAGATGAACTTGATTTTTCATTCTGAACAAATCATAGGCCAACACTCCAATGACCACTTTTTTATCCTGCATCTATGAGCATGTTTTCTATATTCAAATTTGTATGTTCCACTCTCCTTTTAACAAGTCTTACCATGAAAGCTGTGGCCTATAGTCCTTAAGGCTTCAAGAAACTTGATTGAAAAATTCCCATCTTACAAGGAATTTCTAACTGAACCCTTTATTTAATCCAAAGGCTTGACTGTTCTTGTTCCACAGCTTATGTCTAGGGATATCTCATCTACTTTATTTTTAGTACTGCTCAGCTATTTCCACTGAGCTCAAATAAGTGGAGACTTAAACCTAATCTGCCTGCTGATTAGTGCTGCTACTGTTTGTTATGCTTGACTGCACACACTAAAGTTTCCCTTTTGTTACAGCTGCTGTTGAAGACCTGCTGTTATTTGTTTTTCTTAGCAGAAATATAATATATTTCTATGCTAGGCCTACTAAGGAGGTGCACATAACCTAGTTTATACATTGATTCTCTGCTCCTTTTCCCATATTCCTCCAGCCTTACTTTTTTCTTTGTGCTGAAATCATCCCCCTCACACTGATGAAAATGATATGAACCAACTTTTGTGTTCAAATTCTTACTAGCAATTCTCATTACTTAAAGGTTCCCCCCCCCCACTTCAAAACACTCAGGCTCAGAACAGGCCATACATTTAAAAGTAAAAAGTTATAATTACTTTAAATTGCCTTTTAGCATTACTTTAAAAGAAAGAGTGAGCAATATTGTAAATCTTTAATTACTTTTCTGTCTATGCTAATAAATTAACATTGACAGAAAGTGCACAAATCTCTGTGTGTGTGTGTGCAAAATTTCCTAGTGCTACACCTTTTTTTTTCTTTTTTTTTTTTTAAATTAGAAATGGATTTTTCTTTTTAATAAAATATGCTAGAAACTTTTGCACACATAATGACACTTCACACATTTCTTATTTGTCTCAATTTAAATTTTATTTCACAAAACACACATCCAACTTAAAATTATGTTGTGTAGATGACAACTGAGAAAGAAAATGTAAAAGAAACTAGAGAATAGATTAATGTTGTTATGTGTCGCATTCCTTCAGGACATGAGCAATCATGGCTCTCCAAAATTTGCTATTCCTTGTGGCCCTTAGCAGTTTTTCTACTTTTGCTAAGTAAACGTTAAAATAAAACAAGATCATCAGGTCGCGGGTTAATGCCTTTCACTCACCCTTAACCCTCACAGTTCATATTGAGGACAAGTTTTCCAATCCTTCCTTCCTTATTTATTTACTAGCTGAATTATCTGTGCTCTGCTGAATGTCACACATTTTTGTAAGAAAATGATGATTGATTTTAAATCATTTATATAATTTGTGAAAAAAAATTATGCATTTCAATATTATGATCTTGTAAATGTGATCTCCATCTTCTGGCATCCTCCTTCTATATTGTTCAAATTTAATTTAAATCAAAAGGGAAAACATTTTCAGTGGGGTTTGTGTACAAAAACAGCTTGATCTGACCTCTTTAATATGTATTGGATGCAATACTTGATTGAATGAATTGATGAGCAGATTTCAACATTGATATGACAGTTGAATTGTCACAACAAATATGTATTACAATACCCACTGACTGGTAATTTCTTGCTCAATTATATTGTCTCATTTTGGTCTTGCTGATGTGACCTCCATCTTCTGGCTTTCTCTTTCTATATTTTGGATACAAGTCATTCCCTTGTTCAAATTTGAATAAAAGGGAAAAAAATTTTCATTGTGTAGAGGGTCCCCCCATCCTAGGAACCCCCTTTTATCAAAATGATCTTGTTGATGTGACCACTATCTTCTGGCTTTCTCCTTCTATATTTTGGATAGGAGCCATTCATTTATTTAAATTTAATTTAAATCAAAAGGAAAAAAATTCAGTAGCGGCGTTGAGCCCCCTAGGGACATCCTTTGATCAAAATGAAATATACGTACTTACCCAAGTACCCTGGGTAAGGTAGTATCAGAATATTTATGGTTATCTACCAAACAAAAAAAACCCAAGTATGAGTTCAATAACAGAGGTTTACAACTACAGATTTCCAGTTCATAAAAAAACACCTCCATGGGATTTATGTGAGTGAATGTTATTTTTTAACGTTATTTAGCTGATTCTTTTTTAAAGTTTTCCATTTTCGTAAAATTTTCTCTCAGATTTTGGTTACATTATTAAAATTTAGTTGTGAGTTTATTTCAAATGTTAACCTTAAAAATTACACAATGATCAGTCTTACTTGCTAAGCAAATTGTTCAATGAACAAATTGCAAATACGAATTCCCTTTTTAAATTGATGTCTGTCACTTAAAAAAAATGTTGTTTCCTCTCTAGCACCAAGCTCTTGCGACTGATGTTAAAATTTGCTTTTATCTGGAAAATGATTCATTAACGAAAAATGATATCATCGAACAAGATTATTACCATTTTACTACCATCATCTTACTTTTTTCAATGCAGATATTTTTTAACACTAACAGAAAGACAAGACATGATAAATCTTAAAAAAATAAACTACTGAGAAAGATTAACAACTTGGTTTGGTAGCATGTGTTAGACCTTTTTTTTTCAAGATGACTTAGAACCGTGAATTTCTTTGTTGATTGTTTTCCATCCTTAAGTTAAAGAATGTGTGTGCTTCCCAAGACATTTATTGAAAATGTTCTTAAAGCCCTCCACCCTGACAAAAAAATAAATATATCCGATATTTGGTCATTTGTTCAGATTTTGGGGAGTGATCGAACCGTAAGTACTCCTCCTCATAAACTGAGAATGAAAGAAAATAATTTGAATTTTTCAAACAATGATCTCTAATCTGTCAGCAAAAGAAATTATGAAAAAGTTCATTCATTCAAATTCACTTCAGAGGAGAATTCTTATTTGTTTTAAATTAATTGACATTTCATCATAATTCCTGCCACAGGTTTTCTTATAGTTCCAAAGATTAACATAAAATAGCTGTAAAAGTTGAATAGTAACTTTTTTTTTTGGGGGGGTGTAAAAAGAAAGAAGAAGACTTTTTACGTTATGACTGTTCAGAAAATAAAGTTTATTTTCAAACACCGCACCAATATCTTCCTCCAAAAATGTGAATTCATTCATTGTTTTTTGTTTTTGTGGCTTATCAACAAGCCAGCACTCGATCATTTATGTGTTATTGTTGCGAACATTTTGATTCTGCGATCTCGCCTTGTTAAAAGGACAAAACTTTTTTCTTTTTTTTTTTTTACTTTTCTCTCTTTCTCTCATTGTATAAAATGGTTTTACAAGAACAATACTAACCATTGTCACTGTTTAAATGGATACAATGAAATGACTGCATATGGAATTGAAAATAAATGAAAATAAATTAAATTCAAGTTAAAAGTTTAAACTTTAATGAAAGAGAACTCATTTTTCTTAAATTCGGCGTTTTTTTTTAAACATTCTTGAAAATAAAATGAGAATAATGAATTTTAAAAAAGAAAGGAATGTTTCATTTTTTTTTTTTTTTTTTTTTTTACACGTCTACCTTTCAAACAAAACAAAAACAATGAAGTGTCAAAGTTTGTTTTTTTTTTTTTTTAAATTAGTTAAGCAGTGAGTAAATGAATTTATATTTGCCGCATAAATAAACCTCAGAAGTGTAATTTAAAGGTTTCGTTTTCAGATTGTAGTCTTTACTCTTTTCCTTTTCTGTTTTAGTAAAATTTTAGATAAAAGGCAAAAAAAAAAAAAAATACTACACGATCGTTCTTACCTGGTATCAGCTGGAGACTATTTTTTTTTGTTTTTTAACTAAAAAAAGATGAGGCCTCAAGTTTTGTTTTAGTAGATTCTATTTTTAAATTGTTGAGAACATAGATGATAATTTTTATTTGAATAAAATAGAATTTGTATTTTGTAGTAAACAAACAATATCCTTTTTGAAAATCACTTTTTCTTGTTTTATTTCACGTTGACGAAGTCATGTGAGGAAAAAGAAGTCTGAATGAATGAATGAATGAAATCGAGTATTATTATTTAACGACATTGCGTAAAAAGTATGTTTTGTTAACATTTTTATACTCCTAAAATTCTTTGCTCGAATACTAAGGAAAAAAATAGTATTCAATAAAGTATTGAAATCAATAAATTATTTCATTCTCGAGTATTGTTTAAAATAAATGAATGCATTGTTGTTGTTAGTGTTAATTTTTTTAAGTAGATCGAAATATGAAACATTATAAAAACAATAAATGAAGTCTTGAAAATCGTTTGTAAACTAAAAAAAAGCACCTAAAAAGACTAGAAATCAAAATACGAACAAAAAAAAAAAAAAAACAGCAAGAAAAAAAAAAGAAAGAAAAAAGTAAGGAACTAAATAAAACTTACTTCAATTGTTGTGAAGAAATCATTTGTGGCTGCATTCGAAGTAATTTCTTGAAGATCATTATCGATCTGAAGTGTTTTTGGAGAATAGAAATCATGAACATTCTTGCTCGAATTGACATCGTTGAACTGACTGGCCCATGGACACATGGGGGGAATCCGAAGGGTCATAGGTCGATTCTTTTTACCATCTGTATCCAAATCATTCTGACAGATTTTCTGCCGATTATTGTATTCCTGTACAATCACTGGCCACTGAGGGCTCCAAGGAAATATAGAAGGGTCCTTGGTGTCATAAGTTTTAGAACCTCCTGGAAAATGCAGACTACATACACTTGTGTACCGGGAAGTAGTACGGAGATTGATGTTTCTAATGAGGATGATCCAGGCTTGTCGACGTTCTCTGTCCTTAGGTAAAGTGTAAAAACGGAGTCCTCGGTGCCTCTTAGAGTCCGCACAACAATACGGCACACAGCAGTTTACGTTGGGCATATCTGGATCGTTAGAATAGCAACCAGGTGGAGAAAAATTGTTCTTAAAGCATTAATGATAATGGCGGGCACTTCCCCCGAATATAGCCCATAATGCACCAGTAATGTGAGTAATGTGAGAGCGGGGGTGGGGGGCATCATGTAAGGCGAGGCGGGGGCTCTGTGAAGCCCTCCCCCCACTTAGTTCGTATGTCTTTCATAGCTGCTACTTCGTAAGGCTAAAGAAAGACTCTAACAACCATTGTTGAACACAAAAAAAGTTGCAGAATTTACAATTAGCGTTTCTTTTAGGTTCAACTAACACGAAATTAAACAGTTTCAGATATAATTTAAAAAGTAATTATGAGTGTAGAAGGTGAAAATAGGTTTTTTTTAGCCTAACTTTTCAGAATTAGACTTTTTTAGTTTTCTTTTCATCTCATTCAAAGCAAAGTATCTTTTTTTAAAAAAAAGAAAAGATGAAGAACCACTTTCAATGTTTTTACTTCAAGAGAAGATTAAGAACATTTTTTTTGTTTTTTAATTTTATTTTTTCCCCAAATGCAGGCAGATAATGTTCATAATCCAAGTGAATTCAAAATGAATTCAAAATTTCAAATGAACACATTTTCATTTGGCAATATTTGTAGGAGAAACATTTTTTTGTTACCTTCACAGCGTCTTTCACTAATGTTTCTACTTCATATTTTATTTTAATGGTCGTATTTAACAGCACTTCTATGTCTAAAAAACCAAAACAAAACAAAAAAATGATATTTTTTATTTTTTAATTAGTCTGTATTTTTTTTTAATACTTCGTTAAGAAGATTGATTAATAATTTACTCTCGTTAATTCGTAAGTTTACTGAAGTGATTGTAAAAATCACTGAACTCATATAAGAAATCGAAATTCCATTTTTTTTTGTACTTTTTTAACGTGAAAATGATCACACCGATTTACAACTGACTGCTTAAAAATAATTTTAAAAAAAACTTGTGTTGTTCAACGAGCGGTCACCAAGCCTGGCAGATTTTCAAAGTATCTTCCATTTCAAAGAAACACTTTAAACTGAATTAGATCCCTTTTTACGAATTCTCATATTATGAATATTTTTTTGTCTATAAATAAAAAAAAACTTTTGCAGCTAAAATGTTTTTTATTAAAATTAAAGAATAAATTTTTAAAAAGCCCGACCCATCTCCCAAGAAGATGAAATGTTTTGCATCAGAAATAAATCGAAAAAATAGCGCACGAAATACAAAATTTTAATTCATAATCTCCGTAAATAAATTCACGAATTTATTTATTCTACATTGGTTTTCTAAAGACTTGTGATATGCTTCGTTTCCAAATTCTACGTCTCATTTTCATAGTATGAGATTATCTAAAAAAAATATATAAAAATAAGGGAGGTAATACAGTATTTACTATGCCAAGAACGTTTCGGACGCCTTGTGTGTGCGCGCGCCTCATAGCAAAAAAATACATCATTTTTGCGAATTCAATTCAGTAATTATATCATCATGATCAACTGCTTTTCGTATGATTTGTGTACTGTATTTATTTACTAGTCAATGTGATTTTTTGGTTTCCTAATAAAAAAACTTCTCGTAACTTAACTTTGTTTTCAGATTTTCTCTTATTCCGCTGTCTATCCCTGCAAAAAAGAGAATGACAAACTTTAAAGTTTAAAGTTTAAAAGTAAATCACTTAAGCCTTTTAAAGTGATCTTCACTACTGTCTGTGTGTAAATCTATGGATATCATAGAAAGTTTATTTCTAAAATCTTCACTAGTAGATACTTATGTGGCGCATTTTTGTCATAACTCAGGGTTGTGTGACTTTTTTTTGGCTCGATGTCTCATCATCCGTTTTTCACACTTGTTGAACCGTGAATAACAATTGAAGTGTAATTAATTTACTCTCCAACTTGGTAAAGTTACATTTTCTACGTTTGATCTTTAATAATTTTTTCATGTTTTACTTTTCTACTATTCCAAAAATGCGAAGATTATTTTTTTAATTTTACCTCTAAAATTCTTGACATGAAATTTCAAAAGAAAGAGTATTTTGAAAATTAGTACCGCCACGGACTTTCGAAACAAAATCGCCGGAAAACGCATTTTAAATAATTTCAAATAAATAAATAAATGTCTTCTTTGAAACCAAATTTGGGTTTTATTTAAGAGAGCTAAAACTGTATTAAAAGAAAAAATAATAAATAAGGTATTGGCACGTTTTCTCGTCACTCAACGAACCAACGAAAAATGTTTACAAAAAAAAAAGCAAATTTAAAAATCCAATATTTGTCCTATTTCGAAGTTATTTCGTAAATTTAAGGATGAATTAACTGGATCTTGAAATGTAATAAATGTTTACTTTTTACTTGAATGAAACGTAATGAAAATAAGGTTTATTTACGCACGGTAATCTGTGCGCTCAAAAGTTATACAAAAAAACTGTAATGAGACACCCCGACTTAAAAAGCGCGCGCAAAATAAAAAATAAAAATTAAAGAAATAGGGAATACCAGTAGTGCAACAATCAAGAAAGTAGTATTTATGTTTAAAAATAAATTATCTTTACTTTAACCAATAGTTTAAGAATATAATTTTTTATTCTATATTCTTTTAAAATTAATAATTTTATTTATTATACATTCTAGAAGTAATAATAATTCTGAGTTTAATTCATTTTTTTTTATTATTTTCTTAAATATTTCATGCCATAAAATATATAATTGTACCCAATGTGTTTTTTTTTAAAAAGAATTCTAAATTTAAGAAAATGTATTAAAATAACAGAGTCGCTATTAACAATAAAATGGGAAAAATTGCTAGTTATTAAATTGATAATGTTAATTGATTGAGTGCTCAGGAAAAGCATTTTTTTGGAGTTTATTTAATTATTTTTGGGGGAGATTTGGGATCAATTTTTCAGTATGTTCACACTTTGATATTGCATGAATTTTTTGCTAAAATATAATCTTCAGGAATTTTTCTTTATATAACTGTAAAAAAAATTTGATGACTCCCACCAAAAAGTACATGAGATATTAAAAAGGGGAGTGGGGGTGTGTGAAACCGAGACACAAAATAATATTCCACAAAGTTTTCTAATAAAATAACCTATTCAGAATATAATACATTTATTAATGAATAAGTACTGAAAATTTTGTTTGAATCTGATAATTTCCTGATTTTTGCCAAACGTCCATTTTGGTGATAGCTAATATTAGAAATTATTTGTTTCTAGTTTTGCCAAGAGCTACATAATGTTGTAAATGTAAAAAATCATAATGGTTTTCATCTTACTTTTTGATAATTATTATAATATTATTAATTACCGAAAAGTTCTCGGTATGATCCACTTATTAAAATCTGACCAGAAAACAGGATTTTTTAATTCTTTAGTCAGTCCAATAATTTTTCAGCATGTACACTGATTTACTCAAACTAATGTCTTCATCTTGGTTGTTATAGTCAGAACATTATTGTTAATCCTTTGACCTTTTTCAGATGTCTGAAGAAATTGAACAGAATCTTTAGTGTCCTATTTCAATTTAATGATATTTTATTTGTGATCTAATTCCATTGGTTAAAAAAGATTCCAATACATTTCTTACATAACAGTACTGCAATCGACAAAATCTGTAAAAAAGTGGATTGCAGAGCTTTGATATTTCTCTGACATCTATCACTTATTAGGGCACACAAGGCATGTTATATAGTGCCCCCTTCAACAGGGTCCACTACAATGGGCAACAATGAGCATCCTGAACTATGATGTGTCAGTAGTGGGTTTGAATTCAGAAATATGCTTCTAGAATGCTTTTCAAAGAGCTTAATCTACTATATAACCCTTAAGTAGGGGGAGAAGAAATAGATTCATGCTTTTCCTAAGAGTATTATATATATATATATATATATATATATATATATGTGTGTGTGTGTGTGTGTGTGTGTGTGTATGTGTATATATGTGTGTTTGTGTATGTATGTTAGTACCTTATTATGAAATAATGGTGAATGAGCTAGTGTAACAAAACCCTTAGTTCAATTCTCAGTGGTTGCTTCATCCTTGTGTCAAACTAAACTTAGTAAATATGCATATAAACATGAGATGAAAGTACTTTCATGAATATTGCATTGAGAAAAATCAATTGCTGAGGCATTTTGAGATAAAAATTCAGGATAATTGTAATATATTAGTTCTCTTTGACTAATGCTTAGCCTGTATTAATAATTGTTATAATCTTTCTAAACCAGATCTTCTTCTGATTCATGTTACACAAATTTCCACCGCTGGTTGGATGTGAACACTCCGAAACCCAAGACCGAACTCAAAATTCTATCAAACATGCATTGACTCTGCACACACCTTCCACTTTCCTCACATATCCCCAAAAACATATACAATCCAATTTTTTACCCAATAACACCCACTCCTGCCTAAAGAAGTGAAATAGGAATTGGAGCCGATCTGAGCCTATGAAAGGACTTAAAAGCTCATCAAAGAGACATCTTTGGCAGTTGGTCAGCACAACAGCAAGGGTTCACATATGCTCATCAGAATGTCATCTCCATACCCAAAGACAACTGGCCTCTCATCTCCAAAGACAACTCACCAAAGCCAGTAAATCATGACTCACCCTCCCTCTACTACCGTAAGTCACTGCAGACAGCTTTACTTATCTTTTT